ATACTATATTGGCTATCTTCTATTTTTTTCCGGTAAATAAGAGAATTTAAAAGTGATCAGTTAATATAATTGATACTCGAAACCGTCGGTACTTGGTAAAACTCCATAATTACAGAATTGAGGAAAAACGTAAATTGTACATTTCACAAATACATCATTTATTCACAACCATGGTTTCGCTTGTACCTAATGGTGCCTTTACTGGCGAAACGGTGGTCGTGAATAAATGATGTATTTGTGAAACGTACAATTTACGTTTTTCCTCAATTCTGTTACGAGTTTCATTAATAATTTTTTTTTAACACTTTGAAGAATATATTACCGAAAACGTTAAAATGGATGGTAACCCATCCCATTTTGGCTCTAACAAACTTGCCAACTAAATCAATCATTATCACTCGTTTTCTAAAGTTAACAAATAACAAAAATAGCCAGAGAAATCCAACTTTCGCATCTTCTGATATTACTACCCCAGACAATCGACCTTTCCCTGCGCAAACACGAGGAAAAAGCGATCTTATTGGTTGAATCGACGATATGGAAAGCTCGCCTCTCTCTCTCCCAACCTTTCACAAAGCACGTGAAGCAAGCCCTCAGAAGTACATTTTTGTCAAAATTTCGGACAATTGTACGCACTTTAGTTTCTACCATAAAGTTACTGATCCACTAGATAAGCCAGACACAAGACCCCCAATCATTAACCTGACCGTCACACCCAACAAATGTGTTCATTAGCTTATGGGTCAGAAATACTCGGCAGATCCATTAAACTATCGCCAGCGAGAATTATCAAAGGCTAATTGCCATTCCATCTCGACGATCTGTCTGGTTTTATCTTTTTACATGTTTCCACCCAAGTCACGTGGGGCTCGCTGCTGTCAAAGTGGAACTGATTTCACATTAAGACTATTCAATTTACTCCTCGGAACTGATTCTAATTGACGCCGCCCTGTTTACCCGCCATAACTGTGTTAAAGAAGAACTTGATATTAACAATCGTTACAAACGGCAGCAACCACTAACGTAAGATTTAAAATCAAAACCGTACAGTTTCATAGGTAGAAGGTACTTATCGTGATGTTGTAATACATTTCTGCTAGCGGCCCTATGACGTAAGTACCTGGGTCAACGGTAGAAGCCGTCACTGGTTGCCGTTGGTCATGTGATATGCTAATTTGCGAAAGAAGGCGGAGTCAGAGCACAGTTAAACGACAACTCCAAAGAAAACTATTTCCATCCAATTCACTCCAAAATTAATGACCATGAGCTCGTTTTTGATGAACTCTTCGCCGTACGTGGAGCCAAAATTTCCTCCAAATGAAGAATATTACCAGACAAACTACATCTCAAGTGATCGAGGAGACTACTACAGTCATCCGTATCGTTATAGCGGCGTCAACAGTCAGCACGCGTCAGTGAGTTATGGTCACGAGTACAGCAGTCATAACACGGCTTACACAAATCATGGGAGCGTTCCCCACTACTACCCACCGCCGTGTTCTCTGCCGCAGAACTCGGTAAGCTCGCTTCACAGGCCAAAGAATTTGATCTCTTCAACCGGCAATGTTCCACCTACCATTAGTCCGAACCAGGTCTTGCAAGGCCCAGCGAGGCAGTCCCAAAGATCGCCGGTCTCTTCGCCGTTACCGCCGCCAGCGCTGACAACCGATACTGACCTACAAATTCACGTATCGCATCAGCAAGAAATTTCTCCCCAAGAAAAAAGTTTAGTTGAACCAATTCCCGACTGTGCTGTGTCAACGGCAGTGCACCCCGTTATCTACCCCTGGATGAAAAAAGTCCACATTAATACAGGTAGGGAGCTAAGCCTTTTTAAAAATGATCTTATTATCACGTGCTTTAGTCTGTAGAGTAGAGATGTACATGTCTGCTTGTATTGGGAGTCTACTGCTGTGAATACATCATAGTAGAGAAGTTTGCTCTGAGCAGCCTCGAACTCCCGCGCCTTGTCTCCACATCTGGCCTACTTGAATGAGCCAGCCCTTCGAGGCATTTAATAAGGAAGTATTCTATATGGTTTTTCTACAGTCTTCGTGACTGAGGACTAGGTACACAGGACGATTGTTTATTGTTCCCTAGGGAGTTGGAAGCTAGACTTGTATCTCTTCTTTCCAGAAACCCACCACATAAGAGTATTCTGTATAACCACTGTCAGCACGTGGTAAGTTTTACATTGTTCGTCTCGTGTCATTAAGTTTATTGTCGTCTTTCTTTCAGCAGTAGCCAATGGAAAGTTCTCTCCCGGCTTGGAAACCAAAAGGCAGAGGACAGCCTACACCAGACACCAGATTTTGGAATTGGAGAAAGAATTTCATTTCAATCGGTATCTTACAAGGCGGCGACGGATAGAAATAGCTCATTCATTATGTTTGTCAGAGAGACAGATAAAAATCTGGTTCCAAAACCGCCGGATGAAGTGGAAGAAGGACAACAAGCTTCCTAACACGAAGAACGTGAAGAAAAGGAACCAGAACGTAGAATACCTGAGTACGGCGCCAAGTCACTCGCTTCCAATAGACTCTAAACCTGGTTACGGAACGTGAAGAAAAGGAACCAGAACGTAGAATATCTGAGTACGGCGCCAAGTCACTCGCTTCCTAGCGCAGATAGCCCTCATGTAGCTTTGCGCGAAATTAAAAAAAACACTCGCTTTCAATAGACTGTAAACCTGGTTACGGAACGTGAAGAAAAGGAACCAGAACATAGAATACCTGAGTACGGCGCCAAGTCACTCATTTCCAATAGACTCTAAACCTGGTTACGGTTTAACTTAACTATCGTATTTCGTGATGTAAACCACGTATTTTGGTGTGTCACTTTAAAAATGGGCAACATTCTGACGTCGTAGTGTCCGAAAATCAGGGTATACTGTGTCAGTACATATTTATATACGGGAAAATGTGCTCGGACACTTCTTTAATATAACGTCTTGAACATCGCCGGGCTTTGTGCTGAGAAAAACGGTCTTTCATGTGATAATCTTTCCAGTGCTGCCTGTTATATTACGTAACTTTTTTTTTTTTCTATTCTGTGAACTGCACATATATTTCTGTAATATTGTTCCTAGGAAACACAATGCGAGAATCATTTCAGTACATAAAGTCAAGTGTTTTAAAAACTTTTATTGTTATTATTATTGGATGATACTCGTTGTCATTATCTACCAAAGTACGATTTGTGTCATCTTTGTTAGGTTGTGCCTTTTTAAAAAAATATATATATATTATTTGTAGATATTAACGTATATTTGGACGTGGAAAATTTTCGGTCAACTATTCTTGCTGTCAAGTCAATAATTTAACATTCAAATTTGCATATTGTAAAGTGTTTAATATTAATTATGGTAAACCACACAGTTTTGAGACTAAAATTGGTCTTCAACTGTCAGAGTACTTCAGTTTGACAAAGTTAAAACTTGAAGGTGATATTTATTTGATCCCAAGACATGTACGTGTGGCAACGTTCACACGTAGTGAATATATATGTGTTTAGAACTTTTGAACACACGTGCCATAGTTTTAATCGGGAGCCATGTTTTTATTTTAAGTTTTGTTCTATTACTGTGTATTATCTTCAAATTCGTAATCTTTCGATATTTAAAATATTGAAAATAGATTAACTATGACAAGGAATTTCAGAAAATAATTCAGACCTGCGAATTTAAACTTCATAAAAGTTGTTTTGGTTTTAATAACGGATTTCCCTTAATTCAACTACGCAGACTTCGAAAATAATATTAATTTTTTTTTTTTACAAAATTGGGGAGGAAAAAAAAACTGATTTAGGTTAAATTATTATTTCGTTTACCACAATGAAAATTTTTTATTATAATGTTTGTTAGCAAAAATACAAACAAACAAAGGGAAGAACATTGATGTCAAACGAATATGCATCCTCATTCATCCTGATTTGTTTTGTTTTGTGAAATCTACGTCTTTTAGTCTCAAAACTACGTGTTGTGGTCTTTCTTTTACGTATTGTGGTATGACGTTTTGTGAAAAATCTGTACGTGATGGAGAAAAATGGATATCATTTTCGGATTCAGCGTACATGAATTATGGTACAACATGTAAACATTTCAAGACAATAAAACCATGGCAGGCCTGTGTAATTGACTAAAGCATTTAAGAACAAATATATTTGTTTCAAACTTAGGCTGACTGTACGATTTAATTTTTTTCAGTTCGCTTTAGAACATTAAAGAAACGATATATTCGAAGTGATTATCGTAATATGTTCTAAATAATTAACTTTATTTTAAATACACATTATTATACCGTGTTATAGTGAATGTTCTATGTTCCCATTAAGAATTGTTCAGAATACACTCGATTTAATGATGTTAGTGTGAATTAATTAATGAAGTTTAAGAGTTTAAAAAAAACAACGCAAAATTGAATGTTTAACTAATGAAAACGATCACGTTTATCTTTGTTTTTATTTGTCAAAAAGTTTTGTTTTTTTTAAACGTTGTCTGGATTTCGGTGTAAATTGCAAGCATTTGTAATCAAATTATTATTAAAAATTAAAAAAAAAAAACAATCCTTAAAAGCAGACCGACCAGTTTGATATTTTTTTTTTCCATTCCACCGTAGAGAAAACAGACAAGAAACTGAACAGGTATTTGGTGTAGCATTAGGTTTTTTTTTTATTTAAGGTCGATAAACCTCCGAGCTCGTAGAGTCACTGTTCATTCTGAACATTAATGTGTACATAATTTGGGACCTATATTGTCTTTTTATGTACCATTTATTTATGGGGTATTTCTCGTTTGTTTTTTTGTTCTTGTTGAAAAATTCGAAGTTAATACAACCAATTTCCTGTCTAACCAAATCTAATACGTAAAAAAAAACAAAGTCGGGCAGCGTATAAGAATTACTCTATCTTGTTCTCTTTGAAACTATTTAAATGATTGTTTGTAATTAAGCACAAAGTTACACAATGGGCTATCTGTGCTCTGCCCACCACGGATACCGAAACCCGGATTCTAGCGTTGTAAGTCCGCAGACATGCCGCTGGAGGGCCTATTTGAATGCAAGTTAGTTAATGCTGTTACCCTATTACTGTGTTTATCGTACGAACACTTTTTTTTTCTACCGTATTTCTCAGCGAAAATAGTAAAAAATATATAAAAAAAATTATCCCCAGTTTATTCGTATATTTCAATATGAATAGATTGTATTGACGTTATCCGAGAAAGATCTCCGAGTTTTTTTAATATGCCAACACAGCTTGTCACAAGTTTTTTTTTGTTTCCACGATTAACTTGGTGCTAATTACTTACTTACTAAAACGTGCATGGCCAGGTGGATAAGGCGCTCGACTCACAATCTGAGGGTCGCGGGTTCGAATCCCCGTCACACCAAACATGCTCGCCCTTTCAGCCGTAGGGGCGTTATAATGTGACGGTCAATCCCACTATTCGTTGGTAAAAGAGTAGCCCAACAGTTAGCGGTGGGTGGTGATGACTAGCTGCCTTCCCTCTAGTCTTACACTGCTAAATTAGGGACGGCTAGCGCAGATAGCCCTCGTGTAGCTTTGGGCGAAATTCAAAACAAAAACAAACAAAGCTTCTGAGCCACTGAACCGTTTCTAATAAACACGTTTGTAAACTCTGACAATACTAGGTTATTTTCAGTATTAGAACATTGCGAAGTTTTATTTCATTTGTCAAAGTTTTATTTTGCTCGACACAACTTCAATCTCGAAAACATCGATTAAAAGATACTATGGGCGATTTGGCGTAACAAACCAAAACAAAAAGTATTACTTTCATGAAATGTGCACCATATTGTGCCATCTTGTATATCTGAAACCCTTATTTGATAGAGATAGTTTGGCTGCACTACAATTTATGGCTTAATACTAATTCTTTGTGCTGCCAAGAATACTAAAACAATTAAATTGTAATAATACCCTAACCAATACCCTTAAAATATTATTGTGAAAATATCGAAGGAAAAAAAAATTCTTTTAATCACAGTAAAAATATATTAATAATATTGATATTGTTTTCGTTATGCTATAGAGTTTTGTATTTTATGGTCTATGATTAATTATATTTAGTCATCTGTGAAGTTGTAAAAAAATACTTATTTTGTGATATAGGATAGGAATGTAAACAACCTGACACTTCATGTTTATAATTGATTCTGTAAACATTTTTTGCTTCACGTGGTTTTTACTATTTCTTCCAAACTTTATAATCTATTACAGTAAATATATTTTTAACCTAAAAGTACATCTTATTCATACTCATAAAATAAATATTGTATATGTATAAACGTGTTAATAATAAATAAAAATTTCATACTTGCTTTAACCTAAAAGTATATCTTATTCATAATTATAAAATATGTATTGTTTATCTATAAACGTGTTAAAAATAAATAGAAAAAAATTCATTGTTGTGATTTCTATTACCTTTTTCTCACACCAGAGCTCGTAGGACTTTAAAATCTTCTACTAAATTTTTTTCACGTTGTATTTAAATAATATTGTGGAATATTAACATTAATATTGTAATATTTTACGAAACATTAAAAAAAGATAAAACTGATTTCTTTACGACGTGAAATTTAAACTACACTACAAAATGAGTTTTAAACTAAGTTGAATCGCGTATCAAAGGAAAAAAATGCTTTTAGATATTTAATCAAAAATTATAAAAGTTTAAATTGTTCTTGAGTTAGTTACAGTTTGGAATAAGTCATTTGTTTGGGAGAAGTAATCAAAACTTCAACACAAAAAACAAGGTTTTAGACCACTAGTGAAACATAAAAAATAATAATACATTGAGTAGAAATCTGGTAATGCCATTAACCTCGTCAAAACATGAATTACCCCACGATTTTATACCCACACCTAGATATCGCAAAAACCCTTGTGTTTTATATTTCCTTTTTTTTTCTTAGTTAATCGGCGCAACTTTACCGCAAGATAAGGCTATAAATTGTATCTGAACTGAAGTTTCGTTAAAAACAAAAAATGTAATACAATCAAGGATTGGAAGGATCGAAATATTTCTTCTCTAAAAGACTTAAAGCTTTAATGGGTGATTTAGAAACTAAGAACTAAAAACGGGTCTTTCGCGCACTGCAACCAACTTCTAAACTAATAGTAGCACTTCAATAAAACTTTATTATCACTAGCTTCAATGTCACTCGCCAAATTTGTCTTCCTCAGGTAACCATGGAAACCGAGGTTTTATTATGGCCGGGCATATTTAAATAACGTAAATGTGCTCGGTAAAAATCCCACCAAGATACTCGGTGGATTTAGAGCATCATTAATCTTTATATCTTCTGTTGATACTAGAGCTTATACTAACGAAGTACTGTATTCGGGGCGATCGATAACCTAGTATGACACTGATTTTTAAAATGAATAAATTTGTTCCTGTTTTGTCATATATTGGTGTTCCCACGTGTTGAGACGAAGCTGAAAATTTAATTTGGCGCCATGCAAATCGAGGGCTATACATGCACTAGCTGTCCCTAATTTAGAAGTGATAAGCTAGAGGGAAGGCAGCTAGTCAACATCACTCACCGCCAAAAGTGGGATTGACCGTTACTTTGCAACGTCCCTGCAGGTAAAGTTAAGACGGTCGATTAAATTGTTGGTCTTTTCCGAGTTGGGATAGCATTTTGTTAGTAACAAAACTAATAAAGACAATTGTGTTTGTTTGTTTTAGAGCAAAGCCACATTGGGTTGTCTCTTGTGTCCACCGCAGGGAATCGATCCCGGATTTTAGCTTTGTAAGTCTGTAAACTTACTGGTGCCCCACATC